TGCTCCTACATTACCAAAGAAAACTGAAAGCAGACATCAGAGTTTTCTTGGAAAGTCAAAGTCATCCATAATCAAGGAGCATCTGGGTGCTCAATACCATGTGAGTAGTGCAGAACTCCCATGAAACAGACCTTTATTAAGCACTTCTTTTTGTTTATGTGCATTACCTCATTTAATCTGTGCATAATTCTATGGGTAGGAAACTGAGGCACAGAGAAGTTAATTAACCTGCCCATCAGGAATTCAAATCTGGGCAGTCTAATTACAAAGCCATCACCCTTCAGCAACATGGCTTCTCCCAATTTCAGTGGATTTACAGAGTTGTTGGAAAGATGAAACAAAGACACAAAGAACCAGTAGTGTACATAAAACACCGTTTCGTGATTATGCAAAGAATTATGCAACATGATCGTGTGCCTCAGAGGTTGTCAGACTTTTTCTGTGGGCCGTGCGGTCTCCAAACACTCTGCCCTTATAGCTCAAAACCAGCCATGGACAACATCTAAGGAACGGGGATGCCGTGTACCAATAAAACTTTACTTACCAAAACAGACAATAGACCAGATTTAGTCAGCAAGCTATAATGTGCTGACCCCTTATGTACAAGATACGTACTATAGATTTCGCAAAGGAGAAGATCAATTTAAGCTGGAGCAGTTAAGGGAACTTTGGGAGAGCTGAGTTCACCTTTAAGGAAGGTTTGAGATGAACTTAGAAGACCTTGTGCAACCTGGCCCCCAGAGCACTGCCTCGTATCACCTCCCTCTGGCTCAGTGCTTTCTGACCAGGCTGGCCTTTTCATTCCTAGGGCTTTGATTACACCAAGCGTATCCTTACTCTAGAGACTTTGCACTGTCTGATCCTTCTGCCTGGGAGCTCCTTCCTTCCTGTCTTCCCAAGGCTGGCTCCTCGGGTCATCAGATCTCCTCTCAGATGCTACTTCTTCAGGGCACCTTGTCTTGAAGAACAAGTTAAAGCAGCCACCTCTGGCTACCCTAACTCATAGCTTCATCTTATTTTCCTCATAGCATTTATGGTTTCTGAAATCATCTTGTTCATGTATCCATGTGCTTGCCTATTATCTGTCTCTTCCAGCTCTCCTTCTAGAATGTAAATTACATGGAATGGGACTAACATTTGTATTGTTCACTGCTATATGGCTGGCAGATAAATAATCAAAATATACTTGTAGATGTAAAGGAATAAGGGAGGGAGACAGGAAGGGATACAGAAAATGTAAGCCTCTATCAGGTGGTGTTTTATTTCCTCCTGTTCTGTCACTGGATAGACTATAACCTTCACTGGAATGGCCCGTCATTCAGTGTCCATAACATTATTTCAATTCAGAAAGCATCCTCACCCTGTAATCAGAGGATGATATCACTTGATTATGGTCATTCTTTAGTCAAGGGCAAGTCTTCTGGACTTCTGAGTGATGACATGTAGTCTAAGTTATAGCTGGGCCATACCTGAAATAGAAATTGCACACTAATTCTCATTTTGTTTTATCAAAAATAAAAGATCTTTGTTGAATGTTAATGCTTAAACATAAGCATTAAAAAGAAATTAATCCTCTTTTTTTCCAATCCATAACTGCTGTGAAAGCTAACTTCCATTAGATTGCTTTTATTATTATTTCTTTACATTTGCTGGGGCCCACCAGCTCCCTTCCTAAGCAGGTGCGAACAAGCGGGACATCTCGCCAGCCTGGTATCAACTCGTACCTGCGCTCTTTCCCTCTGCTCCAGCTCCCCTTTCTTCCCAAGACTAACAATCCCTGAAACTGCCATCACCAGTAATAATGAGGGCTCTTCTCAGACAGCTGCAAGGTTAACCTTTTCTTTGGATTACGCTAAATCTCTTCTCTCTGCTCAACTGAAGTGGAAAGATGCAGCAACCTCTGACCAGCTCACAATAGCAGCTGCAGCCATGCAATTGTCCTTTCTTTCCAACCAAATAGGAGTACCATTTCAGTCCATGGGCCCCTTGCAAACCAGCATGCTCTGTTCCAAAACCATGTACGTAAGCAATGTCTCCCTTTTGCTTTAGAGTTCAAGAAACTAAAAATAAAAACTAGCTCAATGATAGCGATTGTATTGGCCCTTACAGTTCAGCAATAGTGTTTTTCTTCCCCAAGGTCTGGATTTTCTGTGTCTTTACATTTTTCCTAGAACTGATTTCTGCATTATTTTGTATGTAACCTTGTTTTATGCTAACATTAGGTGTATGAATAACATATTGATATTCAAATTCCACTTAAATGGAAGTCACTTCCACACTTCTTAACTGTTATCATTTGAAAAGTATGATTAATTGAAAGATACACAGATTAAATACCTCTCAGCTGGTTCCCTTAGCAACAATTATGGACTATTTCTAGTATAAGCCCAAGTTTCTACCATAAGCTAACTTTGAAAAAATACCTAAACAGAAATTTGCCATGTTTTTGCTTCATAAGTGATATGAGCTAATCCATTTGTCATCGATCTTTGACATTTTTCGGCGTGCAATGCTCATGAGCTCGTATCAGTACTTACTAAGCAGCAGCAAGTGTGCATTGTCTGTGACTCCCCCACACCTCTACTGTACCAAATTAATTTTTTAAATGTAATTGCTAAGCCAATAATGAGATTCTAAACATGGTCATATCTATGCAATGAGTTACCTGCCAATTGAAGGAAAACAAGACTATTCTCAACATTTATAATTTCTCTAGAAATCTTTGTTGCTGTGGTGATTTTGATGCTTTTTAGCTAAAAAAAAATGTAAAAGTACTACATTGTTACTAGCATAATAAATGGTGAGTGAATCAGATGCGATGCATTACAAAGGTGTCATGGACTATAATTGCTCGGTTCTGCAGGTGCCACAAACACAGCCTAGAGAGAGGCAGCATCAAATAGTACAAGGCCCCAGGAATGGCCCCGTTGAAACTCTGGCCCTTCTTAGCTATAACTTTGCTAAGTTTTAAATTTCATAACCTTAGTTTTCTCATTTGTAAAATGGAGATGATAATAATAATACCACTCCTCAGCTGTGTGGATCAAATGAGCTAACATTTACAAAGCACTCAGAACAGTGCCTGCACACAAGAACAGTGTAAGAATTTGCTAAATAAAATAAACCTGCTGCAGAGTGAAGCTTCATGTTTGTTAGTGCTTTTCAGAATTAGAACCTACAAACTGCTGTTTTCAAGTCCATGAATAGTAGCAGCTCTTCAATCTGATGTTTCTAGATATAAACTTTTTTTTCAAATTATACAGGTAAATTAATAATTTAAGAAGAAAAGAATCATGCTTTATTTGACTAGAACAGCTCTTCTCACTTCCTAGAACCTATAATATTTAGAAATCCATGCCTAATATGTGTGTGTGTCATTGTGGAAAATTTCCCTAATTCTTTAGATTTCAAAATTATATATTATTAATCATAAAATTTAGATTAATGAAATTCTGATGTTAGAAGTTAAACCAAAACATGTTGAACCCCAGTGCTGCCATTTACTAGCTGTGTATCCTTGGGCAAATTCCTTAACCTCTCTGAGATTCTGCTTCCTATCTGGAAAATACAGGAAAAACACACACATTGTTGATTTGATGAAATAAGATCTTATAGGCAAATTGCTTAGCATAGTTAAATGTTAGTAATGAAGTACTACATTATTGTAATGGGTAGTCAGTAAATAGTTAGCATTAAAATATTAAATACCTTTTTATCTTCTTATTGCAAACCTGGCCAATTCCAGGGAGCCCTTCCTGGATACTCCTTCTTCATCACCATAACTGGTAACTCCTGTTTCTAGTGTCTCTTTGGTATTAATAAATATTCCATTTACGGCACCACATTTTAAACTTGCGGATATGATGATTTGGAACTATTTCTAAATCTATTTATGCTTTGTCTTCTAATCTCTGTTATAAGCATATTGAGAGCAAGAACCAGCCTCGCCCTTCTTGGGTCTCTTTAAATTAAGACCTGAGCAGCGTTCTGGGCACTGTGGGCTGCTTGTTACTTCTTGATGGATAAGAAAGAGTGGTGATTATGCAGTTCTTCCACCAAATGGAGGAGGAGTGAAATGCTAGATTGAGTTCATATAGAAGTGGAAAATCTAGGAGGAACTGAACAGACAAAGTCATATATAATAACACAGCCTTCTAAAATGTAGTGCAATGCCCCGCCAAACTCAGAAGAAATGACTGTGGAAAGAAAAGAGCAGTGCATTGACAACATTATCTTGTGTGGTGCCCACAAGTAGGGATTTAGAGTAGGACCCAGTAAAGCAAGAGGAAAAGAACAACTCAGACAGCAGTAGCTATACCAGGTAAGTAGAGCAACCAGAAAGCCAAAAGAGGAGGAGCTCACAAGAGGTGTTATTTGTGTGTACGTGTGTGCATATGTGGGTAGATGCCAATAAAAATAAAACTAAAGAAAATGCCAATAGCTTTCATGCAGAGATCATTGGAAACCTTTAAAGAGTCTTTAAAGCAGATCTATGGAAACTAAATTCATATTAAGAGGGGTTCAGAAAAAAAGGTGACTGGGAAATAAATGCAGCTGGTGTAGACCACTGGTTTAGGAAGAAGACAGAATGGATGTAAGAAGGTGGAAGGTTTTAGAAGGCATAGATCAACCAGAAAAATTTCCTGAGTCTTAAATGACAACTGAAAACAAATTTGAAAACCTCCAATAAAACTGCTTTTCTTTTCAATGGCATTCTTATGTCTGACTCAACTGTTATCGGCATGAGAAAACTAAGTATAAATGAATCAGAGCAAATGGTTTCAATTTTTCCTAATACACAGGTTGTTTTAAAATTGAGACATGGATTTGCATGTATTCAAAATATTTTCAAGCCTATTACATTAAAATACTATTATTAAAAGGTTCATGTCTAAAGTTTTGGATAATTATCTATATTCCCCATAACAAAAAAAAAAAAGAAAGAAAGAAAAGGGCAAGATTTTATTAAAAAGTGAATTATCTGTTTTATATCTGAATAGGTTCCTCAAGATGAATGGTCAGGGTACACCCCTCGAGGTAAAGACGACGAAATTCCATGCCGAAGAATGCGGAGCGGCAGTTATATCAAGGCCATGGGGGATGAAGACAGTGGTGACTCGGACACGAGTCCCAAGCCTTCCCCCAAAGTTGCTGCACGCAGAGAAAGCTATCTCAAGGCTACTCAGCCATCCCTTACGGAACTCACCACGCTCAAGTAAGTAGTACTAACGCTGTGTTTCTGGTCGCTCCTTGTTTATCTCAGAAGGTCTGAAGGTACCACTGCTAGCACAAGGAGGGCAGACAGCGTCCTACAGACGGAGCAGAGTAACACGGTGAGTGGCCTGTTGGTTTCAACCTTGCATCTGACTTGCATATCCCAGTGCCTCCAAAGATGGGGCACCCATATGTGCTCTGCATCAACAGTAAGGTGAACCCCTACCCTCCAAGAAGAAGAGTTTGAAACAACCCAGAATGGCTTCCGAAAAGAATTACGATTTCTAGTCAATGAGAACATCTGTGTATCCCAATTCTTGGACATTTGTTCGACCGCTGAAGATGCAGAACTCTTCCTTGAAAGATCCTTGAATTGTTTGGATTACTGAGTAACATAGTAGAGAAGACTGTCTTAGAGAAGCTTATAGAAGGTGGCTATGTATGAAAATTGGGTGAAATATGAAGGTTCTTGATATACATTTTTAAATTTGGGCACTCAATACATATTACAATTTGTAAGACCTTAAAAATGGGGTTTTTGTTTTGAAAAATATGATTATAAATAGTTTATGCATCACTTAGCAATGAGGGTACCTTCTGAGAAAATGTGTCCTTAGGCAACTTCATCATCGTGTGAACGCCATAGAGTAAGTGCACTCACACAAACCTAGGTGGCACAGCCTACTGCACACCTAGGCTATACGGTATAGCCTTTTATTTCTAGGGTACAAACCTGTACGGCATGTTACTGTATGGAATACTGTAGACAATTATAACACAGTGGTAAGTATTTGTGTATCTAGACACATCTCTGACACAAGAATGCCTACTAAAAATAAAATGAAATAAAATAAACATATCTCAACATAGAAAAGGAATTTTTGAGCTCCATTATAATCTTATAGAACTACCATCATACATGCAAATTCATCATTGATCAAGACATTGTTATGCAGCACATGACTGTCGTCCTTACCTCCACTTGTGCTACTTGTAAACAGAGAACAGCATTACAAAGGTAACTAACTACTGAAATTGATTATTTTAAGCAAGACCTGATATAATTTGTAATACTTTATAGAGAGCCTTAGAACATGGATATAAATAGAATTACATTTGGACCTGAAAAATATATTACAGACAATTGGTATTTTTAATTGCCTTTGATTCCTATTTTGATGAAATGCATATGACTATTCATGCATTTATATTATTTATACTATAATATTTTGTACAAAATAAAATGTTAAAAGACAAAATACATAAAACAGAAAAGACCAAAGCAGTAGAGTTAAGGAAAACAAACCAGGCTGTTCATCAAGAACAATGAAAAAATAGCTGACTATTCTATGATGGGAATTTATTTAAATAGCAAAAGATATTGTCTTTTAAAGAACTGGGCAGGGATAGTAGCTTCATGAATTCTTTTTCAAGGGATTATGCAGAACCACTCCGGATGGTTTTAATCAAATGTTAATACCAATACCTGAGTAAGCCAATCCAAGAAAAGAAGCTCTTCTTTCTCTCCTTTGGCTTCCCATTCCCTTCTTCTTTGCTATATTTCTCCATGTGTCCATGTCCTAAGATTATTATAACAATGTGCCACAAACTTGGTGGCTTGAAACAATAGAAATGTATTGTTTCCCAGTTCGGGAAGCTAGAAGTCTGAAATCAAGGTGTCACAAGGCCCTGCTCCCCTGAAACCAGTAGAGGATAATTCTTCCTCTTCACTTCCTAGATTCTTGCAGCCAGCAATGCTTGGCATTCCTTGGCTTGCAGCTGCAGCACTTACATCTGTCTCTGTCTTCATATGGTGCTCTCCTTCCTATGTCCCCTGATGGCTGTCTTCTTAGGACACCAGTCGTACTGGATTAGGGCCCTCCCTGATGACCTCATGTTAACTTGATTAAATCTGCAAAGATCCTATCTCCAAATAAGGTCACATTCACAGATACTGGGCGTTAAGGCTTCAACATATCTATTTAAAGAACACATTTCAACCTACAACACTGCCATACAAGGTAAAAGTTGACCATGGAATTAAGAAATAGAAACAGGTCTGGCACACCTAGCAGAGACTTGGAAAATTAAATATACTCAGTCTGAAAAGAACTGGATTTATAATAAAGGCAGTGGGCCAAGGTAGTATAAAATGAGGGTGGCCAAGAATATCTTCTGTGGACCTTAAAATATCTCTCCACTAGAAACAATAATAGGTAGTCACAGCAGTGATGTTAATTGATATTTTCCAGAAGATGCAAAAAAAGGGAATGTCATAGGCAAGAAAGTCACTTAGACCTGCAACTGCCAGTCCCTTCCACCTCTTGAGTACCTGGTGAGGTTATCATTAGGATTCACTGGTCACAGTCACTGAATGACACTTTGGGTCTTGGGTGACGTGGTACAGTGATTACTGTTGCTCACAGCAATACGCAGGCGTGAGAACAGAAAGGAACAGAGCTATGAGGAAGATGAGGAGAGCACTCAAAAGGAGGCTGAGGAGAGTGGTAGAGGCTGAAATCAACATTCACAATTGTGCCTTGGGGCTACCCTCATAACTTCTAGGGTGTGGAGAATCCCTCTGAAGTCATCAGAACTCTTTTTTTCTCTTTTGTCTTCTACACAATATTATCTCCCTCTAATGTCCTGGACTGTATCCCTACACCATTATATATTTCCTTTACTGCTCAGAAGTTTTAAGGGCAAAAGAGGCAAACATACAGAGTGTGGCTAGGCTGATGCTAGAGGGTCAGCTATTTCAAACAGTGAAATCACTGAACTGAGTGTGAGTTACTGGCTGCTGTTTCCTTCCTCCACACTTACAGAAATCCAAATTGGCAACCAAGGGACTAGGGGACACCTGGTAGGTTGAATAAATTTTTTCTTTACTTAGGAGAGAGTCTCACCAACCATCTCCATTGTCCCCTCTTCTTTAGCAGACAAGGAAACATCTGGCCACCATCCCAATGCGTTTTTTCTTCTCCATGCTACCCTCCCATTCCCCAGAACCATTTCTCACAGTCCTGCTAACCTCCACTCACTTCTCCCACACCCATTTTATGAGTTCCATTTTGTCATTACAGTCTTCATCATCTTCAGCGAAAAATGATTATCTGTGATCTCTAGCTTAACCAGATTTAAGGAGATACGCAAGGAGAAGAGGAAATACAGTATGGAAGCAAAAATTCAGACATGACGTGACTCATAATCAATTCTGTCTTTCATTCCTTGATGATGTTTTGACTGGAGATCATTATTTTTCTAGAAGTTTGAAGCATTCAGTCCCTCATGAGAAGAAAAGATCCCCATATCCTGGAATTCTAGTTCCTCAAAAAAGAAAACTATATTTATGTTCCTACTTCTTTGACATTTAAGTCAATTTTTTTTTCCTTCTTCCTCCTCAGCAATTCACAGCTTTAGGGATGAATCATAGCCATGAACCAAGATAACTAAAATTAGTCAAGTAAGATTGGGGCAACATTTTGTTGGAGGTTTTCAACACCCGTCTTCTCTCCGAAATGCTGGAGAGAAGGCACTCCTACACTTTCCTACATTGTTTTTCTTTTTTCTTTTCCATTTTCTAATTCCAAAGGCATCTTGAAGGTTTATTTGTGTGGGTGGTTTTCATCTGCTACTTATTGTTAGGTATTGAGTCTTCAGATATACAAGGGCTGAGGTCAGTTGAACATTCTGGAGTCAGGAGTGGTCTTGAGACAATATAAGTAAGTCCCCCTTTGGGCCTACAAAACTCCTGTAGCTACTCTCTGAAAACTATCATTTCTGTCATTATCTTCTCTCATTCCACAGCTATTGGCAAATCTCTTCACCTCATCACTAGCTTTTCCTTCTTCCTTACTTACTAAACAGTGAATTTGAAATATCATATCACCCAAGAATATTAGTATTTTCAAAAAGAGTTTCTGAATGTTTAATAGTAAATTTTCATCCTAGAGGAAAGAGCTGGGGGCCAGAGTCTCTTCAAAGCGTGTCACTGCATCTTGGCTCTGATGAAGAACGTATTGGGTTTGCTATAATATGCTATTTACTTGGGAACTGAGACTACTGACTGCTGCTGTGATTAGTTAAAACCCTGTCCAAATCCCATCTTGGACTTTTATTCGATGTACTGTAGAAAGAACTTTTTTAAAATGACATTTCTAAAGCAAGTATCTCATGGTTAAAATTAAAATAAATAAATAAAAATGATATTAAGTGACCTGTCATTTAAAAGATTCTAAAGTTAAATTCAAATATCTGTTAATCCTGGGCAAATAACACTTTGAAATGTCTTCATACTTCTTTATCCCTTCATCCAGTCACTAAGAAAAATTTTCCCTTGGAAAAAATAGTCAATCTTTAATATTATAGACTTGGGAACTCCTCTGAAATTTGGGAGAGAAAGGCTCCAGGCTCTTGCAAAAGGGCCAGTCAGAGCTCCTAGCAATTTGGATAAACTGTCCAACAAAAGGCTTCAGGGAGGTTTTTTCCAAGTCTCAATGCCTTGAAGGCAGATATTTTTTCATTTTCAAGATGGTTAATCCTCCTAATCTTCCTATTGTCCCTTGGCCCTGAATCTTTTTTTTTTTTTTTCTTTTCTTAGATAAATTAAAGAAATACCAAGTAGCCGTGTGGCTTTTGGCAACGGGATTCATGTCTCTGAACCTCCTTATAGATGCTAGCCTCAGGGCTCTTAGCATGCTGGCACCACTTAGGTGGCTGTCCCCACTACTCCCACGCTCCCACCGTAGGGCCATGGCAGACAGCATTAGCAGATCCCAGCACTGATGGATCCCACCCTCTTTCTCTCTGAGGGCAAACTGAGCTGCAGAATCAGTGTGAACACAGTGCTCCAGGCAGCGCCACTCTGATCCTCAGTGCCCACAGGTGCTACCCTTAGGCACGTGACAAGTCCCTGAGGAGCCTTCAGCCCTAAAGTGCTTAATAGTAAGGACAAGGCACAATATAGCTGGCAACAAAGCTTAAAGACAAAAGGAAGTAGTA